GGGCGCCCACACAAACGCAAAGCAGGAGATGAAGCTGAATATGTTTCCAAACCAACTTCATTCTAAGCCAAATACTAGAAAATATGGTGAAGCATATCTTCCCTTTGGCTTCATCTGCACAAGTGCCGCGATAGGTCTCCTCAGCAGAATTGATTTTCCTTCGTCGGGAGCTGGGCTCTCCAAATCACGGACAAACAGTATCCCACATTCTAGTATTTTAGTTCACAAACACTTGTTGTAATGACTAACTACTCCTGACATTTTGGAGATGTTAGCTCTTTATAAAGTAAAGTTACAGCAGGATACAAATAATATCAGGCTGATCCTGCCACGATTTGTTCCCTCGTTCAAATCACGGACAAACAGTATCCCACAGCTGTTTATGTTTTTAAACCCATTTTGCACAGAGAGGCATTTTTTGAAAAATGTATTGATAGCAATGTTGAATATTATTTCACAGGAAAAAAACAACTACACGTAAAATAATCACACCGCGACGCCTCTGCCTTTGTAAATGGAGCGACAGTAACTGTGTGTGTATGTTAGCATGTAAAACCTGCAGATAGTCAGATTAACAGTATTTTGTCTCGATCTGCCATTCTGCAATTTATCTCATGTAAACAATAACGTGGCACACAGCGTGACATGAAAAAGGCACATAGCTTTGACGTTGCGTGACAAACTCTGTATTCCTCGTCCACACGTAAACGCAAAAAAAGGAGTTTTAAAAAATCTCCGTTTTCGGTGATTCGAAACGCCGTTTACGTGTGGATGAAACAGCTGCATTTTCAAAAATACCTGTGTAGGTGCGGACGTAGCGTAAAAGAGTTAGTAGTTTATTTTATTACTACCTGTAATTTATTGCAGATTACTTGTATTTGCTTAATTGTTTACTAAATGTTTGAGGTGTGAAATAAACTGCAATGGAGCAAAATATGGGTGTGTGGAGGATGTGTTTTTGCGTGCGTGCGTGCGTGTGTGCGGGGGGAGGCAACATTTTTCTTGTAAAACAAAGGGGGGCCTAGCAAAAAAAAGTTTGGGAACCACTGCTTTAGGCAGTACCATTAGTATGCATAGCATATATTTTCACTGCTATGCAGATGACACCCAACTTTATCTTTTCATGAAGCCAGATAACACACATGTTATCTAACCAGATACTTATACTCTTGATAGCATAACCTTGGTCTCCAGTAACACTTTGAGGAACCTTGGAGTCATTTTTGACCAGGATATGTCCTTCAACGCACATATTAAAACAAATATGTAGGACTGCTTTCTTCCATTTGCACAATATCTCTAAAATTTGAAATATCCTGTCTCAGAGTGACTTGGGAAAAACTAGTTATGTATTTATTACTTCTAGGTTGGACTACTGTAATTTGTTATTATCAGGATGTCCTAAAAACTCCCTGAAAAGCCTTCAGGTAAACCAAATTTCTGCAGCAAGAGTACTGACAGGGACTAGAAAAAGAGAGAGCATATTTCTCCCATATTGGCTTCCCTTCATTGGTTCCCTCTTAAATCCAGAATTGAATTTAAAGTCCTATTCCTCACATACAAGATCTTGAATAATCAAGCTCCATCTTGTCTTAATGACCTTATAGTACTGTATCATCCCATTGAAGCACTTTGCTCTTTTACTGCTGTCTTACTTGTGGTTCCTAGAGTATTTAAAAGTAGAATGGGAAGGAGAGCCTTCAGCTTTCACGTGCCCAGCTTCCAATTTGGATTTGGCAGACAGACGCTGTCTCTACTTTTAAGATCAGGCTTAAAACTTTCCTTTTCGCTGGATCATTTGACCCTGAATCCTCCCTTAGTGATGCTGCAATAGCCGTAGCCTATGTGTTAATAGACATCTCTGTTTTGAATCATGCTTGTTATTAATCTGTGGCTGTCTTGTGCAGCATGTCTTTTGTCTTGTCTCCCTCTCCTAACCTCAACCGGTCATGCCAGATGGCCACCCCTCCCTGAGCCTGGTTCTGCTATTAAAGGGAGTTTTTCCTTCCCACTGTCGACAAAGCGCTTTCTGGGGTCCTATGATTGTTCGGGTCTCTGTTGTATTATTGTAAGGTCTACTTTGCAATATAAACCAACTTGAGTTGATTGTTGTTGTGATTTGATGCTGTAGAAATAAAACTGAATTGAATTAAAATCGCTGGCCAAAATGCACCTCCCATTTACTAGTTTCTGAAACTATGCCTGTTACAAACTTGAACTAAACTATGGGGTGGCTGTAGCTCCATTCTGCATGCCAAATATCAGTAAAGTAGTTTGCTGGTGACCCTGTAAAGGCTCAGTTTATAATACTTTGTTGATTTGTTCTGTCTGAACTACATTTTACTGAGTGTAAGAAAGACTGACTCTCTCTCAGAGACACGTCATTCTTTTCATGAGCATGTTTGTGATTTGATGTCTGATTTTTTTGTTTCTCTTCAGGTAAAAAGAGAAGAACACATAAACAGTACATCACTACTGCTGACAAAGGCACGTTTGAATGTTTACTAACTTTAAACACGACGTGTGATTAAAGCTGAGAGGCGCTGAGAAGCAACGAGAAGGCGGGGTGATGGGCTTGTGCAAATCTAGTCTGTAAGCACAGATTGAGCAACAGGGCCGGGTACCTCCTTTGTTTGACACTTTTCCTAAAATGGGTGTGAGGCATTTGGAAATAGTTGTCCAAAAAGGCTAAACATCCACTTCACAGTGTGGATTTGCACTTCACGCACTTCACCTGCATGCGCGCGGTGCCGCGTGCAAGTCGGGCTGTTCTTACCCATGTGCGTGTAAACTGGAGGACCGCGCTGCCGCACTGCTATTAGTGCTGATAGTGGAACCTGTTATTGGAGTAGATAGAGAAACACCCGCACCGCCTGCTGCTCTTAACTTGGTGCGTAAACGGTTTACGCTTCAATCACCTTCTTGGCTGCAGCAGGATTGAGGCTTCCAAACAGCGCACAGGGCGAGGTAAAGAGCTGGGTTTTTTATTTCGTTTTGTGTTTACAAAAAAAGTCTTGTGAAACTCTTGTCACTTTGACGCATTACAAAGAATATGAGAATTAATGCGATGTTAATTGGAATGATAAATATAACACCTTGTAATAATCTCAAGGTGTTTTAGGGAAAAGGAAAGACGTGTAACAGTAATGAAGACATTAAAGTGCATATCACAAACCAAACCTAGGAATAAGCAGTAACACTATTTTTGTTTGTTTTTTGCTTTTGTTTTTTGCTATATAACTGTTTTCATAAAAGAAAACCGACTTGTCCTTTTAACAGCAGAAACAAACGTTCACTCACTAAGCGCCTTGTAAATCTACTTCTTCTTCTTATCATTATTATTATTATTATTATTATTATTATTATTATTATTATTATTATTATTATCATCATCATCAACTCTACTATCGTATAACAAATATTAAAATGTAAGAAAACAAAAAGCATTCTGACTGCCACAGATCAAAAATTATTTACTTTTCCTTTTAAAAAGTCCTGCTTGTTTTTCCTCCTCAACATAAATACTTGCCTGAGTTTGTGTCCTGTGTACAAGTCTGGAACATTTTGCGGGGTTTTGTAAAAGGTAACTGAAATATTTGTCTCCTTGTGGAGCTGGACTTTTAAGGATTTCCACTGCAGTAGACTCCAAACACCCTTCGCTGAGTGCTATATTTAGACATAGGTTTAAAGGTACTTGAGCTTTAGTTGAGTTTTCAATATGCATGCTAGAGGGTGTAACCTTTTGATGAAGTGAAGAAGAGGCAGGGTCTCGCTTAGGTTTCAGGAGTTTTTACCCACAAAATGCTCCTGCTTGGGGGTAGTACTTTCACAAAGTTCAGGAACATCTGTTGAAGGACTTGCAGCTCAGTGATACTTATCAACTTATCAGTGATAAGTCTACTGTTTTCTGAAGCAAAGTAATACAACCTGAATTTTTTTCCTAATATCTGTAAAGGCAGTCAGGTAGGTTTTCTTGTAGCATGAGCAGACCAAGACATATTACAACTGATGTACATACAGGTTTTGTTATACACTGCGAACAGGGAATTGGAAATCGGTGCTATTCAAAGCCAGGTTGCTTGATTGTTCAGGGGCCCGGCCATGGAAACACTAATTGTTCTGGAGGAACATCTAACCAAGCCACAGAAGTGAAGTGAATATCTATGAATAAAGAAGAATGTCCCACTGCAGCAACCTGCAAAGAGCAAAGAGCAGTGTCTCACATAACAAGGATGAATTTATTTTTTAAGAATAGTTGATATTGACAGTTTTCACTGATTGACTTATTGGACTATTGCAAGTGGAATGCAGAAATTGCTTCTATAAACTCCATTGCGCTATAAACCAAGGTTTTGTTTTCTTTCCCCATCTTCATTCATCTGCTCATCATGGAATCGTGCAGCTGATCATATTTGTGAGACTTCTGAGAATAGTTGTGGTCGACCATGTTGTGCAGCAACAGGCCAAGTGATTTAGAGCTGAAAACATCAGGACTGTGAGCAGCTCTCAGCTCAACAACCCCTCTCTGTGTGCTGGCTTAGACTCTGCGGCTCCACCCGGACCCCCACCCATTACCCCTGCACCCACCCAGAGCACACACACAAACATACATTCAGACTGGGGCCTGCAGTGGACCATGTCAATCCTTAATCAAAAAGGGGGTGTTATTCTACACACACACGCACACACACACACACACACATTTTATATGAATTAGTAGAGAGCAGGAAACAGCAGCATCTACTGGCTACTAGCTTGAAAGGGAAAATCTGCATCAGTATGTCTTGTGTGTGTCTGTTTCTGTGTATTCACCTTTATATAGCAAATGTCGAGCAAGACACATGAGCCAAATTTTCTGAACGTTTTCTCTCTTCAGTAACATTACCTTACCTTATTTATTATTTAACCGTGCTCCCAGTTAAATGCTGTGGGTGAGTCTATTGTGGTGTTGAGTGGATGGATGAAATCACAAGGTCGAGATTTTTCTCACTACAAGACTATTTGTGAAATATTTTTCTTGGTAACTTTTTCTCATACTGAAGCTATTTTTTTGCTGGTTTTTAGTTTGTTTTTTGTCTGTTTGGAAGCTGACACAGTCTCTAAGGGGATCAGGTTTTGGGGGATAACAGGAGGAGAGAAGCTGCAGAGAGGCTTGTAAGACTGCCATTGTACTTACTGGTCCCAACTCTGGATAATCACGTTTTGGGGGGGTTAATAAATTTAGGCAAGGTTTCTAGAAATGAGAGCTGCTCCATCCAAAGTGGGATGGATGAAGACCAGGTTTCCACCATAAAGTTTCCCAATTATCTATAAAGCCCACATCGTTTTTCTGGACAACACTCAGACAGATAGCAATTTAAGGAGAAGATGCGGCCGGTCATTCCAATGGACTGATTCTTATATAGTACTTTTCTTCTTACCTTATTTACCCATTCACAGAAGTACTTTTTTTCTAAGTCTAAGTGCTTTCTATCTAAATTCACACCTTACTGAACACATCGGAAAGCAACCCCGTGACCCTGAATTAGATAAGTGGAATAAAATGGATGGACAGTTAACAAGGCAAGGATTTAAAAAAGCACTTGAACACTTAGTTACTTTTAGATCTGGTAGTGCCTCCTGTGTTTGGCTAGCAGTGAGTACTCTGTACCGATTTAGATGCTTATGAGGAGTGTATCTAACCCTAACCAAAGCTTGATTTCCCACAGAAAACAAAAGCAGAAACAAAAATAGAGATGGGCAGGATTGTAGGATCATACATTTCTAGCTATTCTCGTTCCTGCAATAGAATCAGTGTCACCAACAGTATTACTGTTTTCTCATAATATTTATATGGAATATTAAAAGGAAAATCTTGTGCTCTGTACTGAGGGCTCTTTGTGGCAGGTATGACGTGGTGTGCTGGTGATGTATAATAAAGAATTCAGTAGACTAGTTTGAACTCATCACGTCAACCATAGGAGGAAAATATATCAGCTGTGCAATAAGGAGAAAGACTATTTGTGAATACCTAAGGCTGCATATACAGTAAATACCACACCCATCGAATTGCACCCCACCCACATGCAAACACATAGTAGATTCTAGTGACTGCTAATGTCTGTATGCTTGGCAGGGTTTGCTTTTCCAAAGCAAGTTGCCTCACAGCTTTTAAAAAATGATCTCCAACAGGGTGTTCCTACTCCACTTTAGAGATGCTGAATATAGAATGTTTTCTGCATCATTTCCCTGTAGAAAGACTACACGAGGAAAGGAAATGCATAAGCATACCCTAGGCTAAGGTTTACACTAAACCTCCAAGTTTCCATTCAGTTTATTTTAAGAATTATTCTTCTATGTAATCTTTACATGTTTTTTTTTTCTGTGCCAGAGTTTTAATGTGATCTTTGTGGACTCCTTCATAAGAAAAATAAATATGTTTAGCATTTATACTTCTGCACTGGTGCTGCAGAGACTGAATGCCTCTCTGTTTGCCAGAAGTTTCAGTGTAAGCCAGGTAACCCTAAATGTTGTCCAGAGCTCTGAAGATTTGCAGGCTTGCAGCAGAGATAGCAGCACATTAAAGGAGTCTGTCACTATCTGTACCATGAAGTCATTCACCCAACCACAACAGCCTGATCTGGCCAGTTGCATTGTTACGTTTGTTAAATGCAAACTCATTTATTGAATTCACATTCAACCTACAAATTAATACCTGTCTGAAACCAGTTTTCCACAGACTCTTTTACAACTTGGGAGATAAAGAAGTTGTAAAAGCTGCTTTTATCACTAGATTTTTGTCTTTTTATAGCTGTAGCTGAAGCTTGCTCTGTAGCTGGTTAAGATACTGACTAAAACTGAATGCTTCAATTGTCCTGCTTAATCTACAGCTCAGAAGGACATGTACAGTGCTGTGAAAAGTATATGCTCCCTTGCTGATTTCTTTCTTTTTTTTCTTGTTCACGACCAGTATGGAGTGAGAGGAGGAAGACAGGATAAAAGACACGCTGTGGAAAAGAGTTACAGTTTAAAATGATTAACAATTAAATGCAGAGTGGTCTATAAACACGTGGAAGAAAGCATCTCCTTTGTACTAGTTTTCAGCATAAGCCAGGTTAACAACTTGTATGTAATGAAAGTATTGTGTTTATTGCTCAGGCTACAAAGTCTCAGGAGCTCTTACATCATCTTCTCACTCAGTCAGAAGTGAGAGGTCCATTCAAGCAGAACAAAACTCCGCCTTTTTAATTCATAATGGTTATTTTATTTGTAAGCTTACACTGGGGAAGTGTGGTGGTGTGGTTGCTGTTGCCTCACAGCAAGAAGGTCCTGGGCTTATATCCAGCCTTTCTGTGTGGTGTTTGCATGTTCTTCTCCGTATGGACTCCCTGGCTTCCTCCCACAGTCCATAAACATGCGTTGGTGATAGTTGTTTGTCTGTATGTGTTAGCCCTAAGACAAAATAGCGACCTCTCCCAGGTGGAGTCTGTCCCTTGTTCTGTGATAGCCTCTAAACTCCCCGTGACCCTGAATTGCATAAGTGGAAGAAGATAGAGAGATGTCTGCATTAACCCGTGAACTATTTTCTAGTTATACAGTTGAGTGTTCAAAGAAACATTCCAAATCTCATAATCACTTATGCATTTCTTACAAGAACAAGTAGTGTCACTTTACAGTGACATAAATGATTGTTTTGTCTCTTTGTGGTGGTCTTCACATCTCATTGTCCCGTTAATGTCATTACCCATGCATTCCTTTGCATGTATCATTGTCCTGAGGTTTTGGTGCTTTTGTTTAAAAAGAAGGCAACAGTCCAGAGATGCTTGGCTCCCTGTTATAACACACAAATGTGTACCTTAAAGGAGATAACCCATAACTGAGCAAATGATGTCTTACAAATAAAAAAGAAAATAACACAGACTTTTCTTTCTCTCTAAGTGGCTCATCAGGTCTCTCTTTTAAGGTTTTTATACTAAATTTAGTTTTCT